TCCTCAGACAAATTTCACCTTCGAAGAGTTCTTATGATGACTCTGAGAAGAGCTGGAAGAAATGGTGCCACAAGAGAGCCATCGAGAAGAAGGGTAAGTGGTACCAGACAATTACCGTTGTTCTAGTACTGCACTTGATCGTGCTTGTCTCGGAATTCGCCAGTGAGCCATGGTGGTGGACGCGATATCGCGACTTCGTTTTCTTTGCTTTCATCGTGGCATACATGGCCAACATCGCAATTCGTATCATTGGCTTGGGCTGGGTGCGTTTCCGACGAAGCTCATGGGATCTTTACTCTCTGTTCATTGTCTTCGGTGCATTTGTTTCGACTCTCGCGCTACTGATTTCGGACACTGAGATTGAAACCTATGTCCAGCTACATAAGGTGTTCTTGGTCGCCATTGTACTCCTCCTTATCCCTCGCAACGATGCACTGGATCAGTTGTTCAAGACGGCTGCTGCTAGTCTGACAGTTATCAGTAACTTGCTTGCCACCTGGCTGGTATTCTTCCTGGTCTTCGCTATTGCTATGACTCAAGCTTTTAGCTTGACACGATTTGGCGAAGAGACTGCGGAAAACATAAATTTCCGAACCGTACCCAAAGCCCTGATTCTGTTATTCAGGATGAGTCTGGGTGAAGGATGGAATGCTGTCATGGAAGATTATGCCAGCATAGAGCCGCCACTTTGCGTTGACGAGCCTAGATTCTTCGACAGTGACTGTGGTAGCCAATCGTGGGCCAGAATCCTGTTCATCGCATGGAACATCGTAAGCATGTATATCTTTGTGAACCTGTTTGTGTCACTCATCTACGAGAGCTTCAGCTATGTCTTTCAACGCTCGAGTGGCATGGCTGTTGTTGATCGCGATGAGATCCGACGGTTCAAAGAAGCTTGGCGAAGTGTGGACCCAGCAGGTACTGGGTATATCACGAAGGCAGCCTTTCCCCGTCTTCTCGGCGAGCTTTCAGGCGTCTTCCAGATGCGTATTTATGATCCAGAGGACAGTGTTCACTCTATTTTGGAAGATATAAGGGACGATGTGAAACTCACACATCACTCGTCCATCGCAACAACCAGCGGATTCAGTGGCATCGACCTGAACAAACTCAATGCACGGCTGAGGAGGATTGACACGGAAAAGGTGCGCCACCAGCGTCGGCGTTTCAACATCTTTTACGAGGAGGTCTTGGTGTCCGCAGACCCTGACAGAGGCATCTCTTTCACGAGTGTCTTGATGATTCTTGCCCACTATAACATTATCAGTGACAACAAGAGCCTGAAGTAAGTTATCCGACCCGCTGCATGTCTGTACACCAAGGCTAACATAAAACCGCAAAGACTCGAGGAGTTCCTAAGGCGTCGAGCTCGTCTCCAGCGAGTAGACGACCAAGTCCGACGTGGCGTGGTATTGGGCTTCTTCGACACATTGTAAGCTACCTATAGCCATCCCTAGGAAAGATTATTGCTCACCACCGACACAGATACTATTCAAGACAATTCAAGAAACACATGCTACGCAAGCACTCGGCCCGCATGACGGCAGTTCCACAGCTGAACATTCCGGAGATTCTTGTTGAGAACGATCTGAGCGACGATGAAACAGGTGGAGCAGGGCCGAGATCTCCCCTCTCACCAGCCTCGCGTCCCTCGAGTGTTGACGCAGGCGAGCCACGCAACTGGCTGGGATCTGTGGATCTATCGTTGCACGACACATCTTGGAGCCATCCTCTCAGCTTCCCCAGGGCTGCGCCTCCATCACCAACAACACCTGCGCAACCTTCGGCCTTTAGTTTTGAGATCGAGGAGGATGATCCCCATGAGCAACAACAACAACAACAACAACAACAACCGACGACGCAAGCAAGATCGTCAGCGCCCTCAGGTCGTGAGAGTAATCATTTGGACCCTATCAGCCCTGTGCAAGTTCGTGGAATGCTTGACGACTCGGTTTGGGGTGAGAGTATTCGCCGGAACGCCACAGTTCGACAAACACAGAACAGGGGCTCGCAAGGGTATGATGGTTTCCACTGAGGAAGCGATGGAAGAGTTAGAGTTCCGGTTAACATGCAACTTGTGAGGGGGAGAGGAGTCCTTTTTGGTGGTGAAACAATGCGATCATGCATGAATGGAAGTTACATTCAGGAAAGCGAACTCATGGCATAATTCAAAACTGAGCACGGCGTTCCAGGGCAATCAATCAATCAATACATGAGCACAAGGGGGGGGGGGACAAGGTGACCCCTGGTATTTAGTTTCGGACGATCAAGATTCAAAATAGACATACATTTTCATGCACAGGACGTTCAGGTACCTAGACGGCATCTGTGTAGGCCCAGTGTGGTGATACGCAAGAGCAAGGTGTGAGACTGGAGACCTGACGCTTGTCTGATCAACGTATGCCTGCGACAAAATACCCTTGCTTCGCAATCCTGCTGACGTTCCAACTCTAAGTAAATTGATGGACTATGCGACTGTTTCAGCCGCTAGTTGCGACGTTGAAACAATCCGTGCGCCCACATTCCGAGCCCCTGACATATCCTGATGCAAGGACAGTGGTTCTCTTTTCTTCACTGCCACTTTTTTTCTGGGTCTTGTATTCGATGTCGAAAGTGAGCTGACAGTTAAAGGCAAAGGTGCTGCCTCTGGCTTTTTTTTACTCTCGCTTGCTTTGTCTATCTTTGTGTTCCCCAAAGAACCATCACTCGTTCGTTACTTGTTGACAAGACAAGACCAAGAGTCCGATAGAAACATTCGATAGGCTGTGCCTCTCTTTTCTATCCTTTAAACTCGTTCACTCGTTGACGAATCTGGTTTATCATACGACAACTGCTGGACAAGTTGCTCGTTAGCTTTTTCATCTTAACGACCATCACGATCATTATCACCAACGCCTCATACGCCAATACCAGATTTCACTTTTACGCGACAACGTATTTACTCTCAACTCATCTTGAAACCCTCTCACAATGGCTCACAGCTCCCGCTTCGAAACCATGACTTCTCGCTTCTCACCCTCTCGTCTGCGCAACTCTCTGCGTCGCAGTTCATCAGCCTCCACCTCCACCCAGGCTTCCTACTCATCGGTCAGCACGACGAGCTCGTCCCCTGTCGTTGCCATCAACAGCATCATCTCGCGCCAGCCTTCCCTTTTGCATCTAGAGGCTGAACGCAGGAGCTTCGGCAGTGAGCTGAGCCTACTTGAGCCCAGGCCCATTGTCTACTGGGGCAGTGTGGAGGAGCGCATGGGTTAATGTCTTGATACTCGTACTTTGGCATGAGGTCTTGTTTTATGGTTTGCACGTTGAAGATTACAATTTCTGGGGGTTTATAATGTGGTGTTAGGCTTGCCTTTTGGGTCTCTGGCAGGTCAAACTAGGGAATATTCAAGACACGGCGTTTGTGACTTGCATGGTTATTCTTCAATTCTTTGACCGGGTGACTATTCGGTATGGCATCAAGATGAACAATCTTGCCAAATTTCATATTCAAATTCACACACAATCAAACTTTTGGTCCTTCATTGCTGTCTGAGACCTAAAAATATCCAGTATCATAATCATTACAGTTCATACAGTGTCATGTATGTCCTCGGATACGATATCAAGCAGGGGTTCGAAACGCCTGTCACGACCCACAAACAACCCTGAAATACGTGTGTCGGGTTTAACACCGACAATAATGCCACTTTTGATCGACACTTGAAGGCCAATGCATCATTAGGTCATGCCTGGAGACCCGGGAGATCGATCCTGAAGACGATGGTACAAATGTTGCTCTTAATGTGAGACAACAATGATCGTCGATGAAATCATCAAGGGAGATTGCCTCTTTGCTCGAGAGGGAAAAAGAACTCAGATCGATAGAAATGCATGTTGGTTGGACGGAAAATTGTACGGTGACGGTTGTAAGGTCCTTGTCTGGAGTCAACGGCTGATACCACCCCGCGAAACAGAGAGGGTCCCTAGTTCCTGGCGGAGCTTCAAACATCATCCGTCTTCTCTCCACCCTGTCATGTTTACGGACCCGTAGGCGGGATCGTTTGATTCGCGGTATGAGGCTCGACAAGAGAAGCGACACCGTAATATAGACGACTCGTGAAGAACCAGACAGCACTCGTAGCCAGAGCCAATGCCACAGCCATGAACACAAGCATGGTAGACCGCATCTGAAACGCTTCTTCTGCTTCCATCTTCATGAGCTTCTTCTGCTTGCTGTGATAGTGCCAACGACCGTGGGCATCATGATCGCTATGGCCGATGTGTTGGTATGGCTGGAGGAGCCATCGGGGCACCCATTTGGCTTGTCGGTTACCAGTACCGTAGAAGTTGTTGCGGCCAGCAGTATAACGGAAGTCAACCAGGAGGAGTGAGAAGAGGAAGACGGTTATGTTGACAGGCGTCATGATGAACTAAGAGACCTGTGTCAGTGTTATTGTGACCAGCAGCGAAAACCACATGAATTTGAAGCAAAGAGAAGACAAGACGGTTCTGTTTTCTCTTGGCAACAACCACAGACAATGCCTGAACAGGGAGAGACCTACAGAGTAGAGAGTTGAGGGCTGGTTATTACCAGTATTCTCGGGTTGAGGACCAAGTTTGGCCATGATGGGAGAATGAATATGGGAGTGTATTATAACGAGTGTCGAGAAGATTTTGACCGCGGATGTGAGTTCAAGTCCATGACAAACAGAGATTCCAAACACTTTGTTTCTGGGTCGCTGCTGGTATTTTATTCAAGAGCCCACCTCGATAAGTGAATCAGACAAAGAGCTTATGAATTGGTTGTGGCTCACTTACGTAGCCACCCTAGTGAGGTCATCGCGTGGAGGTTGCTAACCAATGGATGCCAGGATTCCCGAAGCTCCCGATCACCAACATCATCCTTGTTAGTATTCCTGGAATTGTTCTAGAGAAGCTTTGCACTGTATTGAGAGGAAGACTTTTCGTAAGTCTAAAACCCGACAAATGAGCTTTTCGTCGGCTTCACAAATATTATCTCAGCCATGTTGTCCAGCCTCTAGCAGAATCTTCCTCAATCGTTCTGCCAAGCCACCATCTCAAATCATTCAGCCTCATCGTGATACGACACATGCAGCGTCGATCATTCCTGTCCAAGCTCCAAGTCCAGGCACAGACTGGATCCGGCCAGGCACAATTTTCCGATCTTCACTCATGGAGAGGGGAATGGTCATTGAAGTTTCAATCGGGATATCTCATTATAACAGAGGTGATACGGCGCTTACATGCAGCCATACATTACAATCCCCCTCTTTTAGCCTGATACCCAGCCAGCCATTGATTTTCCAGAGCGCCGTTTGCCCACGAATCCCATGCCTACCGGTGCCTATGCATATCAACGCCTTCTTGCTTAACCCATCAGATATGCTCCTTTATCGCGCATTGTGAATGTCGAGCACAAGGATGTCCTGAGCGCCAATTCGGGTCAAATCGTCCATAACCAGAGCAATCTTCTTCTTCTCGACCATAGAGCTGACAGCAACCCAGCCCTCCTCGTCAAGAGTGGTAACTGTCGCTGAGCGCTTCCCAGGAGTAACCTTGGTCGCCTCAGCCAGGCGGCTTCGCTCGACATTGTATTGGCACAGAACGTAGCTCTTAGCGGTAATAACACCTCGGATACGCGAGGTGATGAGGTCGATGAGTTCAGGGTTGGAAGGCGATTTTGACTTGATGAGCACGGCGGTAGAGTCGACAACAGTGTCAATGGCCTTGAGGCCAGCAGCTCGCATGGTCTCTCCAGATTCTAGACGTTCATTGTTAGTCATGGTCTGCCACAGTTGGTGAAATAAGCTTCAATATCCACATACCAACAAGATCGACAATGCCCTCAGCAACACCGAGAGCACATGCAGCCTCCACACTTCCGCTCAGCTCCACAATCTTGGTGCGCATCTTGCGAGGCGAAAGCTCTCCCTGTGTATTTTCGCCTTGCTCAAGCTTCAGGAAATAGTCGGCAGCGAGGTTGACGAAGCTCGTCCCAATTGTCTTCCCAATGAGATCTTCGGGAGTCTTATACTGGCCCTTCTCGGGGACCTGGACTTGCAGCTTGCAGCTGCCAAAGCCCAATTCCATAACCATGTCAGAGCCAGCGACCTTATCGTCGGTTGAAGACATATCAACAGAGCTACGCCGCAGGTGGTTGTAGGCACGGACTGAGGCATCGTGCTCCTGGACTTGGTCCCATCCGGTAATACCGAGGTCGCAACGGCCCTCACCAACGAAGGTTGGAATGTCGGCGGCGGGGAGGAAGATCAGTGCGATAGGGAGATTCTTGACGAGAGCAATATCGAGACGGTTCTCACGACGGAATTGGACGTCGGCGCCCTCGAGGAGGTTAAGTGTGGCAGCATTGAGACGACCCTCTATGGTGAATGAGCATAAGAACGACGATTGGAAGAATATGATACGACTCACTCTTTGGTACGGCAAAAAGAAGACGGCCTTCGAGACTGGAGAGGATTTTGCATCAGTGACCGCATAGTGAAGGTGGGATGTCCAGGGAAGATTTTGAGGTTGCGAAGCTCTACAACGGGGCGGACCAACCTGTTGACGAGATCCATGGCTGGCTACAGAAGTGCTACAATGCAATGCTTCTTCCCTTGGACTATAGGTAGTTTGAATTAGGTAAATCACACTGCAAGGTAAGGCAGTCGGGGAATTTATTATTGTCTGTTGTGGTGACTGCTAATGACTCCGACTGCGGGGCTTCAAGACGATGGCGGGGGCTCTGTGTATTTGCTGTGGCACCAGCATGCATCATTTCATACGCTGGGGCAACGTGATTGGGGCTCTGATCAGGTACCACATAACCAAAGCACCACTGACACAGACCGACCATCGGGGGCGAAGATGTCGAAGACCCACCAATTGGAAGACACACAGATAACACGGTGCTGAAGATAGAGTCATTCATGGATGTTTTCTGAAGTTGATATATTAAATGACTTAAGTTGTTGAGGCCTGTGTTTGAGAATATGCTGAAATAACGTGTACTCTTCAACTGACTTTATCGGTCAGAATTTTCTATGGCAATAACTGCAATATCTTTCTGCAGTCACTCCCAATTGGGTTCCGTAACGTCTTGTCGTTACAATTGCCCAACCAACAAAACACCTTGTGCTGGACTTGCATCATGTATCATGCGGTTGAGATTCCATCCGAAGTTACACCGGATTGACAACAGCCCGACGAACAATAGGCAGTCGAGCCGTTCTCAGGCTGAGACACAATGGTAAAGACGCTGAACAAAGTCTTTGATTAAGACATTGCGGGTTCGAGGGCATGGAAGCGAACAACGTCGTTTCTTGATTATGAAAACAAACCTAAACAACGTCAACACTACCCAGCTATCATATGGGGATGCAGTAATGCCATTCAGCGAGCAGTGTGGCTGGCTGTGGTATTGACCGAAACACCGTTCTCTAGCAACTGGAATAGAAGATGGTGTGCGCTCAGCATGTGTTACTTGTTGTCTGTGAGTGTGGTATCATATCATGTGGCTTGCGTTCGTTCATATGCACCTTTCTTTTCCTTACCTTTACGGATGTTTGCCCGTCCGTACGCCTTGTGCTACACTCTCTTGGAGGTGTGCTACCTAGGTTCTTTTTGCTGTCTTCTTTCTTTTTTTCGTCCTTTTTCTGACGCCTACTTGATAAACCCCGATGACCCAGTCCTTGTCGGGTCTCAGTCAAGGTCTCAGTCAAGGTCTCAACCGCAACAAAGTCTTTGTTCAGAACAGCTCACTCAGCCCAGCCCAGAGCTGAAGTGTCACCAGTTTAGGTCGGCTTCTCTCGCTCGCTAAGCTGCCTCAGCTACCGGTTGGTTCGGTCCAAGCCCTCTATGGCATTTCTGTCTAATTCTCGGGGACGCCTATATATGCTATACCATACCTTAACCACTGCGTCGGGATAAAACTGAAATCATCGTGGAGATCAGAGTTCACGAGCTTGAGACCATTACGGCAATAATTCCTGGGATAACAGAACCGAGCAAGGAAATCGAAACCTTTTTAGCGCTCCCGGCCCGCGCCACTTGGGGAGCTAAACCTCCAGCTCCACCTCAAACTTTCCATCAATTTACACTTTACCTTCAGCCGGGCTTCTGGGTTCCCCACCTGCCGCCGCCCGCGCGACATCAACGACATAGTGCCTCCAGCGCCTAACTTGACCTAACTGACTTTACTTTGCTTCACTTACATTCTGCTTTGTATCGTCGGCCTCTCCTTTTGGTGGCTTCGCCTCTTGGCGCTTTCTTCTCTCCTCAAGACTGACATCTTGTCTTGTCTTGTCTTGTTTCGCTTCTCTTCGCTCTTTGGCTTGGGACGAACTCCAAGGGGATTTCAACGCAACGCAACAATTGTCGGAGCATATGCTCTTATAGCTCGCCTTGTCCGCACAGCTTCTCCTCTTCGCTTCGTCCTCCACAGATCATCCATCCTCTACGGATACCTACCTCCCTAACCTTTTTATTCATATTCATATTATATTATACTTGAACGCAAACTTACACTCGGCACCAATCCTCGACAACCTTATCATCGATTGCAATTCGCAATGAATTCTTCCTATCACCTGCCCGACATGTCGCAGCGAATCCCTGGCCCTGCGTATTCCTCCGCCGCACCACCACCACCAATTCACGCCTACCAACAACATCAGCATCCTCCTCCGCCTCTACCGCCTCCGAATCAACACCACCACTCGTCTCATCCTCCTCTACCTCCTCCGTCGTCAGCTCCACATCCTCACCACCAACATCCGCCGCCGCCGCCCCCTTCCCACTCGCTATCTTCGCATCAACATCGTAGCCAACCACCCCACCACCAGTCTCAACTCCCACCATATGCCCCAGCTCCATATCAACAGCCTCATCCGAGTCAATACCCACGGCCCCATGCCCACCAGCAACACCCCCCTCCTCCTTCGCAGCATGATGAACCTCCTCCTCCCCCGCCTTCCTCGGGACCATCCCCCACCGACCATCAGAAAGATTCCGAATACGTTCCCCCATCTTATTCCAAGATTGAAGAAGGGTCAGGCTGGAAGTACAGGTATGTGGCCAAGAAGGGTCCTTCAAACTTTCCTCGCAACCCCGCTGAAACGATTTCATAGTCTCGATGTGAAGCAACAACCCGTGCGTGCGCGCATGTGTGGATTTGGCGACAAGGTCTGTTTTTTCCTTGCCATTGAGCTCTAATCATCTGTCTCACCGTTCCCAATTTAGGATCGTCGTCCAATCACGCCGCCGCCGTGTGTTCGTCTTGTCATAATAAACACCGAGACGGGCAAAGAGGTTGACTACAAGTACGTTGGCCCTGTCGCGGACAAGAGAGCACGTCGGTTTGTGCTAACACACAATGTGCAGTAGTTTAGATCACGCCATGTTTGTGTTGTCGGTCGATCTGTGGAACCATGATGGTACCAAAGAAGTGAATTTGGTGCGGTCTTCGACTGGGACCGGCGCTATGGCATCTTCAAGTACCTATACTTATTCGTCCCTGGAGCCAGGCACTCCTTCGTATCAGCAACAATCTCTGCCTCCGAGCCGTGAGTCTGGATATGGGCAATCCCAAGGCATGAACTATGGGCAGGATTACCCCCCACCGGTGCAGCAAAGCTACGGGCAAGGTTGGTCGAAACAAGAGGAACAACAAACGCAAACAAATCCGTGTCTGACACAAGAGTAGCACCGTCGTACCCGCCGAGCAGTTCCTACGGTCCACCCCAACAATACTACCCGCGACATAGCGGTTACAGTGCCGAACCTACCGCTCCTCCGCCCGGCGCCCCTTTCCGCAATGGATACGGACAAGATCAAAATGCGCTTACTAGGATGGCAGTGGTGGGAGGTCAGCCCCAAGGGATGTTTACGAGGAACTTGATTGGCAGTCTAGCCGCAAGCGCATTCCGTCTCGAGGACACTGAAGGGCAATCAGGTATCTGGTTTGTCCTCCAAGACCTCAGCGTTCGTACAGAAGGAACCTTTCGGTAAGAGCAACTGAATTCTGTCTGTGCCGTGGCTTGTGATTGCTGACGCTGAAGTTGCAGATTAAGGTTCTCCTTCGTTAACGTTGGGCGCCCCGGGGGGCCTGGCGGGCAGGGGGCCAACGTGAACCAAGGCCGGGCGCCAATTTTGTCGTCGTGCTACAGCGAGAGTTTCCACGTGTACTCGGCCAAGAAGTTCCCCGGCGTGTGTGAAAGTACACCATTGAGCAAGAAATTTGCAAACCAAGGCATCAAGATCCCGATTCGTAAGGACACCAACATCAAGGGCGAAGGCGACGAGGAGATGTACGATCAGAATTGAAGAATCTGTGTGGACTATCTCGTCGAGGAAATATTCATAAGTACTTTACGATCAGAGATGAGCTTTGAGAACTTGGCTGTTCAGATGCTTGAAACACGCAAGAGAAGGAATAGCTGGCGCATACAAAGGGCAATCGGCATTGGATAACAGGCCGAATCATGGCTTTCCGTTGTACAGGGTTCGAAGATGCGTCGCCAAAATGTATAGAGGTACTGCCCTTGTCAGACAAGGTGCGATGTCATTGACTACTGAGCATAGATGCCGGCGTTGGTGTTTAGAATTGAGTCGATTTCTCATACTTTTGTCCTAGCTTGAAGTGCAGTGTGTTGGTGATGTTGCAGTTCAACACATCTAAGAGCCAACAAAGAGATTTGAAGCCAAGTATGGGATCGACAGGGCAAAGGGTTCTCTAGCCCGAGGTAGCAAAACATGACTGTATCATGACCAAACCAGGGGTTCAAGGAGTCAACGTCATCGTACTTAGACAAGCTTAGCCGCCATTTTCAGGGTCTTAGGTGTGATCAGCATGGAGCAGCCCTGCTGGAATCTAGCAAGCAACAAGCTACAAGCCACAAGTAGCGGCATCCCTTGCACTTTTTCAGACTTTGAGGTCATGAGGCTTGTGATTGAATAACCTACGAGCAGGTTCTTCTCAGCTTCCACAGCTGTGAGCCACCAAACCAACCCAATCCGCTGTGTCGGGGCACGCCAGTACGGAAACGGCTACAAATAAGCGCTGGTACGGCACGCAAGAATATGAGAGTTTACGCCTTAGGCGGGAGCGAGCGCCGCTGGGAACTCGGAGTCCGGCGAGAGCGAAGATGATCCACGGATCTCTATGTAGATTCTCTTGGCGGCGAGAGGCCATTCGGCCAACCTACTTTCTAATTGACCGAACAGGGAGACCTTGGAAAAGAAGGATCTCATGAAGACTTGTATTGTCATGACAGCGATGAGTCTCATACCTGACGTGGTTGGCGCATAACTCGCGGAGAATTTTAATGCTCTATGAAGACCTACTACCAATAACTAACCTGTCAGTACTAACCTATGCGCTTTTGCAATTATTGGTTCGATATACAAGCTTTCCCCTTTCTGTCCCTGAGGGAGCGAGTGCAGTAGCCTCATAATTCGCTTTCAATACATGAGTGACCAATGGCCTCAAGTTACTGGCATCAAGTGACCTCCAGCTGCATCTTAACATTGAACCCCTCATGGCCTCAAAAAAGCTTGTATTGACTTCGTATATCGGAAGTACCCTGCCAAGATCTGGGGCAGCACGAGGCCATCAAAATTCATTACGCAACCAATTTCTATGACTGGACATGGCTTCTTAGTGCCATGACCAAGTGGAACTGGCGCACGGGTACTTGCGTCTACTTATCCTGGACTTGGGTGAGCTTTAACTGAGCCTCATTCTTCAACTGGACAAGGGTTGAGAGGGGAAAGTGCTTTTTCAACTAGAGTCTGAAGGGGAGAATTCCATCATTTGACTCACGAACAGACTCCAAGATAGTGCAGAAGAAGCACAGTTGCAACGCCCAGCTGAAGAGATCTCGCCCTGCAGCTCACAACCCAGCAGCCCAGGTTCGGGGCAGCCTAGTGAGCACAAGGCCAGTCTAGGCCATACACTCTATGGCTGGGCGCAGTGGTTCGGTGGGTGTGGGAAAAAAAAGGCCGCAGTACCTAGGAACCTATCGAATTTTTTTCTCTTTCCCCTGTTTAGTTGATCATGGGAACACTTCCAGGGCAGGGGAAAATTTGGTAGCAAGTTACAACATCAATCACGAGGACTTGGCATTGAGTTAAAAACTGTCACCGCCGCCGCCAACTAAATCTCCTTCACTCAATTAGACTTTGCTCTTTATCATTACAATTCCTTAGGGACATAATCCTGATCGTTTGGCTTGACAACCCCTCAGTCTACTCAACAACTCCTGGACAGCCACTAGTTTAGCTATTACTCACTCAAGAACACGACAACTACACCACGACTGCCCCTCAACCAAACAACAACACTTTTTCCTCCAAACTCACACAACCTTCACAATGCTCTCCTCTCACGGTCGAGGCGGTGCTGGCAACATGGCCGACTCAACTCACACTGAGAAGACAGACCCCAGCAAGCTCCAGACTCCCGTTCTCAAGGGCTCTGTTGTCACCACCGGCCGTGGTGGTACAGGCAACATGGCCAAGAATGATGACCCCCGCGAAACTCGCAAGCGTCAGGACGTTGAAGCGTAAGTTTTTCATTCCTCCTGTATCTCAGTCTCAGTGGTCGTTCTCACTAGAATCGTTGCTGACTTGAGACAAAAGTATCCCTCGACGCCCCTCATCTGGTGCCCAGCACGCTGGCCGTGGTGGCGCAGGCAACGTCTTCAAGGACAAGGAGACAGAGTTGACCCGCAAGCCCAGCAACGATGAAGCTATCACCGACGAGGAGGAGCCCAAGTCTGCCAACTCACCCACTGTTGCTGGCGAGTCGTTGGCTCAGAAGGGCAAGAACTGGCTCTTTGGCAAGAAGGCTTAGGACTCGAGAGACCTTCAAGTGTTTCGGCATACTCGCTTTTAGAGATGAGAGTTTCGTGTTCTACTGCTATTGGGTCTGGTCATTTTACATTACAGCTCGGTGTTTTGGCGCCTTTGATATTGAATCCGAAGGAGGGAGGGTTCTGGCTAGACAAATTATGAAGAACGGGTCAACGGAGGATGGACATAGGACAAGGGATACGTGAAAAGGAGGAAAAGCAAAAGTAAAGATACCACCACCCCATGAAGTAAATGATTTACAAACGAAGAATTATTTTTCTCAGCATCTTGGCCATGCTATTTTACTATGTTACATTTTTGTGTCTACCGGTATTCTCCTTCACAGTGCTTTTTCTGATGCGCTCCCTTATTTACTTTGTTATTCAACCCAGCATAGACATATGGTATCTCAAAATACGCCTTCAACACAGCACGCACTGATATTTGGCCGTTAGTTCTTCTTGGTCAAGCGGTGAATCTCCTCGAAGTAGTGCTTGAGATGATCGGGGTTTACGCCAGGTGTAATTCCTGCCTTTGGTCAGCCCCTCGTCCAGCTCAGTATCATGTCACAGAGAACTTACCGTGGCCAAGGTTGGCAATCCAGCCCTTGTTTCCGACCCAGAAGCCTTCGACCATCTCCTCCACGGCCTTTGTGATAGCCTCCTTAGTGCCATACAGTACGCCTGGGTCAGCATTGCCCTGGAACACAATGTTGCGGTCGCCTCGAATCTTGACGGCCTCCTTGGGATCATGCAGCCAGTCCATGCCAACCACGTTATAACCCAGGTTGCAGGCAGAGTCGAGTGCGTACCAAGCACCCTTGGGAAACACAGTCATGGGAACCTTATCCAAACCGAGGCTCTGGAGCTTGGCGGGAAGCTTCTCGGCGATTTGCTTCAGGTAGGGCTCGGAGAATTGACGGTAGGAAGAAGGACCGAGCTCTCCTGCCCAGGAGTCAAATACCATCACTAGCTATAAAGTTTGTAAGTTAGTCATATATGGTGCAGTTCTCAAGGAGAGCATTCTATACCTGGGCACCAGCCTTGACTTGAAGTGCCAGATGATCCACGCAGATATCGGCAATCTTGGCCAAAAGCTTCTTCGACTCCTCAGGATACTTGTAGATCCATGTCTTGACCTGCGCAAACAGCTTGGTGCCACCACCCTCAACCATGTAGCAGAACAGTGTCCAGGGAGCGCCGCAGAATCCAATCAGGGGCACCTGTCCTTCAAGCTTCTGGCGTGTTAGTGTGATAGCGTCGTACACATAGCCAAGTTCAGTAGCAACATCGACGTTTTTAGCGAGCACCTGGCTGTACTGTCCGTCGTCGGGGTTCTGGAGCGGGTTCGGGAAGTGAGGGCCCTTCTTCTCAACCATCTCAACAGTCATACCCATTGCCTGAGGGATGACAAGAATGTCGGAGAAGATAATAGCGGCATCGATGAGACCTGCAAATCGGCGGACAGGCTGGAGGGTGATTTCGGTTGCGACTTCGGGGTCGCGGCAGCATTCGAAGAAGTCTCGGTTACCCTTGGCTTCGTGATACTCGGGGAGGTAGCGACCAGCTATCAATTGACCAGGTCAGTCTTGCGTGCTCTTAACCTTATGTTGGGTATCTTCTCACCTTGTCGCATCACCCACATAGGCGGACGTTCAACGGTCTGGCCTAAGTTGCAACACAGCAAGTCTCAGCACAGTTCTCCCTCAAGATTCTCACAACTGAGGCGCGGACAACCCACCCCATGCTGCGCGAAGCAACAGGTCGTTCTTGAGAGGCGCGAAATCTTGCGACATTGTATATGTTGTTCAAATGATAGTCAATTGGAATTGGTACAGCAGCTCAGGAATAACTGCAAGTTACAGATTGTGACTTTTAAAGGATCTCCCAGTTAAACTACAGATGCCCCGCCCAGGACTGCCCATGTGGAATCATAGTGGAGGGGTCCTTCCGTTACAGTTGCGGCCGAGCTACCGTACAAGGTTGATTCCAAATTGGACCAGGCCCACTTCCAATAAAGAAAGAAAGTATCGGTCCTCGGAACTTTGGACGGACCGACACGCTGTCATTACAACACACCTAGGTACTCCAGCGCGTAGATAGCTTCATTCGAGATCCATACGAAGGAAGCTATACTCACGACCTCGATCTTCCATATCGTCTCCCCAAAAGCGCTCTCACTTGTACTAAGCTGAATAGAGTGCTCCATCTTCATCCGCGACAATGCCTTCCGAACGCGAGCTTCAGATCAACTCCATCGTTCCCGAGTCTGTGGTCCATAACACAAAGGTTCGCTCCCTCGCCCTTGATATTGCTATCACTAGCGACCCATTACCCATGCTCAAGGTTCTCGCGAGCTGACCACCTATATAGGCTCTCTCCAACCTCCACAGCCTTACTGCGTCGCTTTTTGGTGTCAGCGCCGGTGTCCTCGGTCTCGAATCTTACTACGGTTTCCTTGTCTACATCATC